TGACTGAGAATCCTATGGCCTGCAGGACCGCACTCTCTGCAGTTCATCTATTCCTACACAGCAAGCTGTGTAGGAAGGAGGCTCCCGCAAAGTCACAGAGCCAGTCTTGCTCAGGACTCTGAGACCCTAGGTAGAAAGTCAGGACTACCTGGGAGGTCACCAAAGGCACCAGGGGGCTCATGTGGCTTTTGGTGGTCTTGCTTTGTGTACCGGAATCACTGAGAAGCTGAGCTTCCCACTCACCCCCTGGAGCTGCTATCTTTAGCCTTTCTCATGCTGTTCCCAGCAGACCCAAAGAATACAGATTGGCAAATTCTTTGAAACCTCCCCAACTGTCTGTGGGGCAGAGGCCTGTCTGAAGGAGAGACAAAACCAGCCTCTTTACCCTGCCAAGGCCAGAGTTCCCCCCATGTATTTTTCTGTGTGAGGGGGAAGAGGACACATCATACCCAACTCCTATCCCCCAAGGTACTGGCTGAGCCACATCAGTGACCCAGTGGCCATTTTTCCCAGGGGACCAGCCCCCTGAAGACTGAGATTTCTGCTCTTCCTGTCCTTTCCTATTCGTCCTTCCTTTGAATCCCTAACACTCCACCCCATGTGGGCCCACACCATCTCCCAGCACCGTCAGACACACACCTCAAAGACCCCATAGTCTATTGGATCAGACAGACAGCCAACAACCAATTATGTTCTGGGGCTGTGGAACATGGAGAAAGGAGCACAGTCAAAGTCAAAGAAGGCTTCCCTGGAAAAGACAACTGAGTGAGGCCTTGACAAAGGAATAGGAATTCTCTGGGCTAATGAAGCAGGAGACTGGACCAGACATCTTGGCCCATCCAAGGAGACACAGATAATGTATGGATTATCAGGAAGGCAAGAGCCTTGAAGATTATGCTGAGCCGTGACTATATCTTGAATAAACACAGCCTCTTCTTCCTCCTCCTCTTCTTCAGTACAATTTATATATGACACATACAAATATGTAAAACACAGAAGATGTACATTCTGACGGTTTCCACCTCTATACATATGTGTGAAATCAACACCAAGACAATAATGACCTGTCCCTATTAAACTCTCCCTTCCTTCCTTCCTTCATATAGATTAGTTTGTATTCACCTAAAAATATTTTTCTAAATTTTTAAATTACACTTTTAAATTTTTATTTTGTGTGTGGTGTGTGCATATGGGGGGTGGTACATAAGCATGCTTGTGGAAGTCAGAGGACAACTTCAAGAAGTCAGTTCTCTCCTCTCCCCAGTGGTCCCAGGAGCTGAGCTCAGGTCATCAGACTCCACAGCAGGCATGTTTCCTAGCCGAGCCATCTGCACAACCCAAGTTTGTACTTTCTGATTTTTTCTCAATAAATAAGGTCATCTAGGATGTATTATCTCTATTTGCTCTTTCATCCAGCATGCTGATGGGCATGTTCACTGCTTCTCACTAAGTATTATTTCCTTCTTTGGATTATATCACAACTTACTTACCTTTTTCACCTGTCAATGGATATTTGGATGGTTTTCAGCTCGGGACTGTTACAAATACAGTTGATGTGACTGTGTACAAGTGTCTATGTAAAAACAAGATTTTGTTTCTCTTGGATAGATACCTGGGTATGGAATGCCACACCAGATAATAGATTTATGCTGAAGTTTTTTTAACTTTTTTTTTTTTTTTTTTTTTTTTTTGAGACAGGATCCTTCTACATTGCCCTGGCTGCCCTGGAATTCACTATGTAGACCAGGCTGGCATTGAACTCATGGAGATCAGCCTGCCGCAAAAGTGCTAGGACTAAAGTTGTGTGCCACCATGCCAGGCTCTTCTTTTAAACTCAAAAAACAAAATACACTTGTTGATTCAGGGTGAGGGGAGGCGTGAGAGACCACATTTGTGGAATTTAGAGGCCAGCTGGTGAGTGAGTACTGGAGATTGAACTTGGGTTATCAGGCTTGGTGGCAAGTACTTTTATTTACCCTCTGATACATTTTAACAGCCTCTTAAATATTTATTACACTTATTTATTTATCTGTGTGTGTGGCAGCAGGGATAAGGATGTGCATGAGCCCCGGGGCCACATGGAGACCAGAGCACAACCTATAAGAATCAATTATTTCCTTCCAAATGGGGACTGAACTCAGACGCTCAGAGTCATCGGCAAACACCTCCACCAGCTGAGTCATCGCCGTGGCTCTATGTTTCCGTTTTAAAAGACAGTTCAGGAAAAAAAAAATGCTCCCTTTGCATTCTACCTCTTCTCTGAGGCTCCCACATGCGGGTTCTTGACTGGCTGCTACAAACTGCAGGAAGGATTTCAGAACTGAGTCCCCACTGGATTTGTCCAGCTTGTGACTTTGGACTCCTCCAAAGTCCCAGGGCTTGAGGCAAGGATTCAGAGCATCTGGAAATCTTTCAGGAATGCTGCATTCTCTCAGCTGGCTGCCTGACTCTGGGCATGTTTTCGAGGGTGGAGCGCTTGAGCAGGGCCAGAGGACCAGGAATGGAGGACTTAAGATAAATCTTCTGGCCACGAAGTTTAACAAAACTCATAAATTATAGGCCAAATGTCAGAGAAAACAGTTTTCTCATGAGCACATATCACAGCTTTCAAGGGGTGTGGAACTGACCTCAGACCCTGAAAGGTGGTACCCAGCTAGAACCCCCAGAAAAGAAACAGATTCTAGGGGTCCAGAGCCCTGAGGACTTTCCTAGGTGGAGGGGGTGTTGATTTAGACCCGTTCACTGAAGGAAAGAACTATTGGACAATACCCAGGACCAATGTCCCTATCTGCATAACTACTGCTGGGGCCTGGCCTTTTTCTCTGGTCCTATTGGAGAGTCAGAATTCTGGTGTTAAGAGATACATAATTTACAGGTCGTAAGTGCCACTGGAGTTTGAGGTGTGTTCGTTTCTCCATCCATCCATCCATCCATCCATCCATCCATCCATCCATAATCCTCATTAGATCCAGAGCCAACTCAGACAGGTCTTGCTAAGTAATTCAGACAAAATTCATCATAAAGAACACTAACAGCTTCCCCAAGCACAGTGTTTAGATATGGTTTGGGTTAGAAAGATTCCTTAAAGCCAACATGGAGGATACAACGCAGTGTCAGGCACAGACCACCGCAAGGAGGTGGCTAGAAAGGGTTGAGGAAGAATCTGAGCAGAGCACTGGTGGGCTAACACAAAGGCCAGCAGGGTGATTGGCATGAGCCCAGGGCTGCCTCCCTTCTCCTGGCTCTAGTCAAACCAGTCACCAGTCGCCAGCAAACACGGTCTGTGTAAACAACAAACAGATGGGGCCTGGCTGTAGGGACGGAGGATGGCTGTTTGATCTCAGCAGAGAAGCCTGAAATGCTCACTCAGAGGGGACAGTTGAGCCAAGGTACACATCTACCCGCCCACCCACTCATCCATCACCTGCTGTCTGAGCAGCCATCCTTCACGGAGATACAGTGGGGAACACAGGTGTTCTCTTGGAGCTGCAGGAAGCCACTTGCTCACATGCAACAGCTAGTAGCCTGAAATGGCTCCCAAAGCTCAGTCACCTGTGACGCAAAAGCACAGAAGTCCCTTCTTGCCCCCAATTCCTCAGGCAGTTGATGAATTCCCAAGGGCCATATCTTTGAATTTCTAGGAAGGAAAGAACTCAGTTTCCCTTGGATACAAGACCCCTTCTTCAAGATTGGGAGGGAATGCAGGGAAAACTAGAGCCTGGTTTAGAAGGTGCAGGTTAGATGTCCTAACTCAATACTTGTCAGAAGCTGAGTCTCAGCTGTGATCACCAAGCTTTCCTAACCAGGGACTCTTGTTGTGTTGCTGGTGTTGGTTGGCTTCACACAGCGAGCAGAACACCAGTCAGGCATGTTTCTGTCACTTGGACACCAGCTGAAGGCTCCACCCACAGATGGACTCAGAGTGACACCTGCCAAACCCAGAGTTCACCTTCAGAATAGTGCGCAGGCCCAGGTGGCGGAGAAGGGAGGAACAACAGGAGGGGGTGCTGGGAGTGAGGGTGGCTGATATGGTCATTGGCCTGCTGCCCGGAACCTGTCTGTGAATCTGAAAGCACCTGGGATTTTACAGTCAATGTCCAGAACTGGACGGCACTTAGAGCCATCCGCTTTAGCCATCATTTGATATGTGATGAAACAGAGACCCACAGAGGGAAGACGGGCCGCCAAAGCCCTAGCCAGAAACGGTCAACTTTGTCTGCCTGAGGGCCAGGGTCTCCCAGAACTTCCATGCTTTGGCTTTTTGGAATGCACTTCTGGGGACTTCCGCGGGGGGGGGATCATTGGCTCCGTCATTGTCACTGCCTTGGTGTGTTCCCTGTCCTGAGGCACCACTAGCAAAAGCCCCACCTGACCTTGTTTATGGAGTATCTAGAAGACTGTCTGGGTCGGGCCTGCTGGGTGAACGACGCCTTAAGGACGCCTTCCTGTCGGCCAGGCTCTCCCCAGGCTCAGAAGAGCTGTTAGCTGTCCCAGCCAGTGCAGAAGATAAGGTTTGTAAAGAGCTGGGCAGTGCCTGGCACAGAGCGTAGGGCTATGCCGTAACTGTCCTTCTCGGCCAGGTTCATTTTCCTGGTGCTTTGATGGTAAAGACCTGAGCTGGGTACTGAATGGTAGTGCCAGCCTGAGAAACCTTAGGAAGAAAATCTAGCAAGGAGGTATTTGAGCTCGGGCCAGATGTCCAGGCTGAGCATCTCTGGACCAGTAAACAAATCCCTCGTGATGACCCTGGTGGAGGCAGAAGAGTAAAGCCAATAATGCCGTAGCTCTTGTAGTAGCACTGCCAAGGTGGTGCTGCCGTGGGGATGGGGCGGGGTGGGGGTGGGGTTCCTCTGGAAGGGGAGGAATGCGGAAGTTCTGGGTAGGGAAGGGAGGCTGGGTTCCCAGTATATTTGCAGAGCAAACACTATCGCAGGCCTGATAGCTTGATACCTCTTGAAGCGGCAGATGCGGGGTGCACGGATCAGGGTAGTGTAGACCTGTTACTAGGGAAACTGAGGTTCCCCTTTGGGGAACAGTTAAGGACAGTTTTTATTAAACTTCGAGAGAAACAACGGGGCAGGCAAGCTATAAACTTCGGCAGCTGCCAGGAACAGGGGAGATGGAGAAAAAGTCATTCCATTTAAGTTAGAATTGAATAGAAAGAGTTGCTCGATACAGAAAAAACTACTCCCAAGACTGGAAATGGACTAGCGTGCTGAGGAAGAAGCGCAAAAATAATTCAGCCACTGCGGCGTGCGGTCCTTCGTACTTCATACCTCTCCTGTTTGAATTCGGAGGACCCTTTTTTCTGAGCATGCTCTGTTCATCGGATGAAGCCCCACGTAAAAGGCTTCCTCAGCTTAACCTTGACATCACTTCTCCAGTCCTTACTCTGTCCTGCCCCCAAGACACAAGCCACGCCTACCAGTTTCTTCTGGGCTTCTCTTTGAGTCTGTTCTGCCAAGCTTGGGCCCTGTGTAGAGTAGAGAGGTGCTGACTGCTAGCCAGCTGAGCAATAGAAGGAGCAAGTGGCCAGACAGATGTTCCTCAGTCCTCCGTACTTCAACACGGAAAGGAGAGTGTCCTGGGGCTCCCAGATTTCCGGGGGGTTGGATAAGCCGACATTGTCTGTCCTTCTTAAAGGCCCCCAAGTACTGGAAGACCAGTTTGGGTCAGGTGAGACTTCATTGCGGTACCAGTCAGGGTTCTGGCAAAAGGGTAGAGACGGGAAAGTAAGGAAGTATTATTTGTACGTTCCCTTGAGGTTTTTAAATAACACTCTACCTGTGGAATTCTGTTTTCTCAGGGACCTAACTCAGGTTGTCAGGCAGCAAGGATTTTCACCCACTAGCCATCTCACCAGCCCTCCCTTGAGATTCTTAACAATGGGATCCAGGTGACAAAATCTGAGGAGTCACTAAAAAAAGAGTGGAGAGATGGGGCTGGAGAGATGGCTCAGAACACTGGCTGTTCTTCCAGAGGTCCTGAGTTCAATTCCAAGCAACCACATGGCAGTTCACAACCATCTATCATAAGATCTGTTGTTCTCTTCTTGCCTGCAGGCACAAATACAGGCAGAATACTGTATAATAAATAACTAAACTTTTAAAAATAAAGGGGAAAAAAAAGACATTTAAGCTCATTGTGGTGGCTCACACCTTAGCTCCTAGCACTTAGGAGGCAGAGGCAGGAGGATGTATGTGAGTTCAAGGCTAGTCTGGTTTACACGGCAAGTTCCAGGCCAGCTAGCGCTACACAGTGAAATCACCCTGTCTAAAATGAATTAGTTAAAAAGCCATTCTAGGTGCAGAGGCCACAGTTTGAGGCAGTTTGAGAGCTTCACCCATCCAATGGGCAGCATTTCTCTTCTAAAAGGTGGAGCTTGGGAGGCTGAGGACCCTCTGGCACACTATCCTGTAGTGTGCTTCACGACAGCCCACAGTCCATCCACGCCTCCCTTTGTCACTGCCCAGTCAGCCAGCATGTCCTACATGTGAGGCTGAATCAGAGGAATATCAAGCACCATTCACTTTTAGCAAAATGAGGCTCCTGGCATCTCCCAGAGCCTGCCACCTGAAAGCCTTGGGGTGGTCCAGGTGCTTCTGGCACGCCAAGAAGCCTGTTGATGAAAACGCTCAGGTTTAGCATTGCTAATCATTAGGGAAATGTACGTTAAAATCACCAGAGACACAAGCACACTCCTATGAGTATGGTTAAAGGAAAAACAAAAACCAAACCCTGCCAAGTGCAGATGGAGATGTGGAACAGGTCAGTCTGGAAATTCAAGATATTGAAGTGCAGATGTGGTGATTCCTCCAGTATCAAAATCCTCATCCTCTTGGGTTTCTGGTTAGAGCTGTGATCAATTGTACAGGCAGCAGCAGAGCCAAAGGTCTGCATGTGATCTCTAGGAAGGGAACCAAGGGGCAGCTGAGCAGACTTCTTTCTGCAGACACAGATCACACCGAGATGGTCACAGTCAAGAAAGGCAAACCAGAGCTAAGAAAGTCTATCCAGGTGTGGTAATTCTGAAGAAAAGGCAGACTGTTTCTTTGTTTCCCAGACAAAGGCAGGGGTCACAGTAAATACCAGAGAGAAGAAAGAAGAAAGGTTCTGTCAGGTCTAGCTCAGACTTGTGGTCCAGGATTATGCCCAATGCAGATAGCTCTGCATGATCCTACAGTGTGTTTGCAAAATGTAATGCCTGTTAGGAAGTCTTTGCAAGAAAGAAAGAAAGAATAAAAGGAAATGGTGGCTACTTTGACAAAGATTTTAGCATCTTTCTGAAATGTTAACAATCTCCCCTAGCCTCCTTCCTAAATATTTACCCAAGAGAGATGAAAACTTAGATACACACACAGACAAAACTATTTATCTGTGGGTATATGAGTGTGTGTGTCTGTGCCGGTATGTGTAACTATAGTATACATGTTTATGCGTGGAAGCCAGAGGGAGACATCAGCTGTCCCATTCTATCACTCTCTGCCTTATTTCCTTGAGACAGAATCTCTCGCTGAACATGAAGCTAGGTTGGCAGCTTGCAAGGAGCAAGCCTCAGTGATCCTCTTGGCTCGGTCCCCTATAGAGCTGGGGTTACGGGCACACAGGGCCATGCCTGGCTTTTTATATGGGTGGGGAGATTCAAACTAGAGCCCCCATGCTTGTGAGGCAAGGGCTTAACTCACTGTCTTAGTTTGGGTTTTATTGCTGGGAAGAGACACCATGACCACAACAACTCTTATAAAGGATTACTTGGGGGCCCGGCTTACAGTTTCAGAGGTTTAATCCATTATTGTCTTGGCGGGAAACATGGTGGCCCCCAGGCAGACATGGGGCTGGAAAAGGAGCCGAGAGTTCTACATCTGGATTCTCAGGCAGCAGAAGGGGACTGTGTGCCACATTGGGTATAGTTTGAGCATAGGAGACCTCAAAGCTCACCCCTACAGTGTCACAATTCCTCCAACAAGGCCACACCTACTAATAGTGTCACTCCCTATGGGGGCCATACCTATTCAAACCACCATAGTCACTGAACTTTTTAAAACACACCTGTGAGGCTGGGAGAGGGCTCAGAGATCAAGGGCACGGGCTGCTCTTCCAGAGATCCTGAGTTCAATTCTCAGGAACCACATGGTGGCTGCCAACCATCTTTAGTGAGATCTGGTGCCCTCTTCTGGCCTGCAGGTGTACATGCAGACAGAACATTGTATACATAATAAATCAATCTTCAAACACACACATACCCATTTATGGATCACAGGGCTAAGCACTGCAACAAAGACTCAGGGCGAGTTTCTGTCTCGCTCTGTTGGCCTTTCAACAGCTCCTGCAGCTAGCGTTTCTGAATGCCTACAGCAGGCACCATGTCTATCAATGAATCCTCTCTGCTCCTGCAGGCTGGGCAGCTCTCAGAAACAGCTGGGAATCCAGCTGGACAAACATCCAAAGGCCAGTTCCCAGAACCCAAAGAGAGAAGGAAACTTCTCTGTGGGTACGTTGCAGGGTGAGGGATTCTAAGCTTTTCAGCCTCTTGAGGGAACTCTACCACCTAGAAAGGGTGGCTGAAGTGATAGAGCAGAAGGGAATGAGCCAGGCGGTGTGTTTCCTCTGCGAGAGCCACTCCCTGAGCCACAAGGACAGAACAGCTGTCAGGTAATGACTGTTTTGCATACACCTCCATTTACAGAGCTGGGGCTATGGGCTCCGTTTGGTGGTTCTTCCCATGTCTCTGCCCGACTTGGACGCTGGAGTGGACATAGCTCCTTCGGTGAGAAATTTAAGTATAAGATTCCAGAGTAAGCCAGGGTGGGCGACATTCACACAGAGCACAGAACACAGCACAGTGGAACGGACCAGAGCTGCATATGTCAGTGTGGGTACACCTCCAAAACAATGCTGTGGTTTGGGGAACAGCTAACTTCTGATCCCCTTGCCTCTCCCCTACCAAGGGCTGGAGTTACAAGTATGTGCATAACACCCAGTTTTAAGTGTTTATAAAATACAAAATAGGGGCTAGAGGTGTAGCTCAGTTAGTTGAGGGATCGTCTGTTACACATGAAGCCCTGGGTTCAATGCCTAGCACCAGGTACAGCCAGGGGTGGTGGTGCGTGCCTGTTCTACCAACACTTGGCAGGGGGAGGCAGGAGGATGCAGAATTCAAGGCTACCCTGAGCTGTATAGCGATTTTAAGGCCAGCCAGACCTACAGAAGACCTTGCCTCAAAAACAACCAGCAAAACAATGACACCCCTGCAAAATACTATTATCTGTTAGAGATACAAATTTATTTCTATGCTATGGTATTATATAATATGTAACAACATACGTGCATTGTAGAGAATATCTACCACACATTGTTACTGATATGAAAAAAATTTAAACCTGAGCAAGAAAAATACATTCTAACCTAAGAGGTGGATTAGCTCTCTTCTTCCCTTCTTCCCTCCCTTCCTCCTTCTCTCACACTCACACATACACACACACGTGTACGCACACGCTCAGCAAACCATCAACACCTGCCAAACCTGAGATATAGGAGCTAAACGGAAGGCTTGTGTTTCACTCTGTTTTCTGTACTTTGGTTTGAGATGTTTCTTAATTTGGAAGGAAACAGAACAAACCTGGAGAACATGCTAAGTGCAATAAGCCGGCCACAACAAGCACAGAAAGAACAAATACTGGGTGAGTCTATGTCTGTGTCACATGCCCAGAGGCAGAAAGAATGATGGTTACCAGGCACTGCTGGTGGTGGCAGAGTTGTGGATGACAATGGTAGTTATAGTTTCACACAGTGACTTAATTCCTTTCTTTGTTTTGCTTGCTTTTTTTTTTTTTTTTTTTCTCAGCCTTGGCTGTCCTGAACTTGCTTTGTAGACCAGGCTGACCTTGGCCTCACAGAGATCCGCCTGCCTCTGTCTCCCCGAGTGCTGGGATTACAGGTGTGCGCCACTGCACCTGGCATGACTTACTTTCTACCTTTTTATTTAATGTGTTGCTGTTGTTGTGCCTGTGTTGTATGTGTGCCATAGCACCTATGTGGAAGTCAGAGGACAACTTTTGGGAGTCAGTTTCTCCTTCCACCATGGGTTCCAGAGATTGAACCCACATCATCAAGCTTGCATGGCAAGTGCTTTTGGGACTGAGCCATCTCATGAATGTGGGCTACTTTGTTGAGACGGAGTCCTTCTAAGTATCCTAGTTCAGCGGGGGATTTGCTTTACGGAACTTGCTTTACGTCCAGGCTGGCCTCAAACTCTTCATCCTCTTGTACTTGGTACAATGTTATGTTAAACATTGCTACTTCCCCCCACCCCCAGACAAGGTTTCTCTGTGTGGCACTGGCTGTCCCCAAACTTGCTCTACAGACCAGACTGGTCTGCCAACTAAAACATCCACAGGGCTGGGGAGGATGCCAGGAAAATAGCTAACGGATATAGTGTTTCTTCCTAGGGTGATGAAGACACTCTAGACTGTGGTAATGGATGCTCAACTGTGACTCCACTAAGAGCCAATGAATAAACTGTCGTGGGTGAAGTATATGATATATGACATGCCTGTCAGAAAGAGACAGAGAAACTTTTTCTATCACCCCAAGAAGCCTGAGGTCTGTCAGTTCCTCTCTGTCACTCATGTTACAATGTAACCAGAAGCTCCTAAAGCCTTCCCACCCTTGACGTGAGGGAGGCTGGAGCCAGCTGCGCATCCACCG